ATTGGCATAGGTTCTGTAGACTGATTTAAGCCCTACCTTAGCAACAGGAAACAAATTGTCAAAATCAACAAAACAGAATCGGAATCCTTGCCAATAGCATGTGGAGTTCCCCAATGTAGTATTCTGGGTCCCTTATTATTTCTTTGTTATGTTAATGACATGTCTATCAGTGTTAAATGCAAACTCCAACTGTATGCATATGACAGTGCTCTGTTAGTGTCAGGTAAAGACTCACAAGATATAGTTAATGTAATAACACAGGAACTGGAGTCCTACAGCAAATGGTTAGTAGACAACAAACTTTTGTTAAACCTTGGGAAAACTGAAGCCATACTCTTGGCATGAAACATAAACTGAGAAGGGTAAATAATTTTAATGTCCAGTGTAATGGGGAACCCATCACTTCAGTTTTTCTCAGTAAAATATCTGGTAATCCCCTTTGACCCATGCATGTCAGGATAATTGATAGGGAACAGCGTAGTAAAGAAAGTGAATGCCAGACTGAGGTTCCTCTACAGACAAACACAGTGTCTACCTACTGAAAGGACCCCAGTGGAAATAAGTCCACTCTGTCTGACTTTTTTGGGTTATCCTAGGTTCTTTACATATATGCTGCTATGTATGATAATCTATGTACGGTGGACCCTCGAATTTAGTAGTGCCGTTTTGTATGCAAAACTATTTTTATTATCATAAAATGTATTGTTTGTTAATATTTTTGGGTGTCTGGAATGGTTCAATTGGATTTACATTATTTCCCTATGGGAAATATTAACAAAACAATACATTTTATAGATAATAAAATTAGTTTTGCGTAGAGAAAAGGCACTACTAATTCCAGGGTCCACTGTAATTGTATTTGTGTTAACCTGAATAAACTTACTTATTTACTTACTAACTACCACTGAAGGTTTATCAAGACAAGAAGTACTGCCTACTACTCACTGTCCAAACTTACCTAGTTTTCAGTAGTGTAACTGATGTCATGGCTGTCTGCTAATTCCAGGGCCATCGTTTTTCCCCA